GACAACGTTTTCACAGAACACAAGACCTATAGAAAACCAAGTTATTAATGAGTCAATGTTCAATCAAACGTTTGTATCACTAAGGGGAGGTAACCCTTATATTACAAATCATATGTTTATAAACAATGACTCTCTAGATATTTTATGTTCTTTTGGCCAAAGCTGAGGAATCATTGAATATTTTCATCTTCAATTGTCAATAACGACATGTTACTCTCTGATTGGTTTTAGGCACAGTTATTTACTGTTGCCGTAGTAAAAAACACTGCCGTAGTAAATAACAAGTGACGGCTTTAAAAAATCATAGAACGACAGTAAAAAACAAAGAATATCTCTTTTAGTTTTTAAATAGGTCGATTTAAAAATAGATTGTTTTTTTTTTTATAAACGCACCTATTTTAGCAGAAGTTATATATTTTAGCGCTTAGAATATTACGTTATATTATAACTGCACTAATGGAAGGTACTGCATATAGCTTTCTATCGCATGTTTCATGATTGCAGTGAGTCTCCTAAACGCTGATCTGTTTAAAGTCGACAATACGCTAAAATCAGAGTACGTTAGAATAAGTGCGTTTACAACACATACACCAATCACATCCGTCGTTTTGCTTTGTATGATAATTCTATGTGCTTGGTTATTTGTGTGAAAACACGTCACAAAGACAATCAAAACGATTTATTTTTTATTTACATTTCATTCCATATGTACATTATACAGGGATGATGTGACATTTAATTTGCACATTGTCGTATGGTGCACGTGATTCATACATACGTAGAGGTTTGGAGATTATATGCATGATTATGTCTATCTTAGTATCTTTAAGGTCCTATATGTTAATTAGGTGCCTATATCTTACAGTGCTCACGCTCTCCTTATCTACAATAGAATCATACTAACGTGTCAACGTACATACGTCATAGGTGCACTATGTTGCAACAAATTCAGATGAGGAACGCCTACGTCCCATTTTAAGCTTACTTTACAAGGATACATTCAAGATAATAAAAACAAATTATACAATATTTGGGGCAAACTCCCCCATTATGTATATGTATGAGCATCTTGGGAGAATCAACTAAAATTTGCATCCACCTTTGTCTGAAATTGTACGATAATAGTTTAAAGTTGAAAATAAATAATCTCCAAAGTGCAGCTTTTTTACAAAACAAGTATTGTTACCACTGTTTTAAACCGTCCATTAATATAGGTAAAAATTAAAGTTATGGATAATCATAGTGATGGTACACGTCATGTTAATGTTTAGCATTAAAGTCTTATGTGACATTAATAGACCAGTCTAGTATCGGACAACGAAACCAATTGACCCTATTGACTAGTTTTTATTTTGTCATGTATCGGATTTACAAGTTTAAAAAGGTACTCATATATATCCTTTTTTCACTACAAACAAATGTTTCTCTAACGCTTCTCAAAGTTAATTTAAGCATTTACAACATGATGGAAGCAGAAACCATATCCATTCGTAACAGGTGATTTTCCCTTGGAACATGCCATCTTCCATCGTACAGTTACAGTTCGTGGTGCAGTTTTCCATTTGGCTAAATAAAACAAAGAAGAAATCAGTTTGTGATAAAAAAAACCCATTTGTGACCATACCTTCCTTGTGCATTTATATGATACTGGCAATGAAATGGTTAACATAAGTTGTCGTTGAAATAGTAAGCTAAAAAATTTAAAGATCAAAAAATAATTTTGAGTACAATTTCAAGCATCATAAATTATATGTCTATGCTTGCTAAAACGCTATACGTGCTATTAAGAATTATCAGTCAGGCTTCAACTATACTCACCTGCATATTTCTGTCGGGAAAAGCTGTCCAGAAACCAAATGTTGTTGATGTCCATGTATGTCTGTAACATTAGTAGGACTTACGAATGCAGGACTTCTGAAAAATTCAAAAGACTCTTTCTCTTTAAACATATACCTTATTCCCGGCGAAGGGCAGTTACAACACTTGGTAAAACGATTGTTGAAAATGTACCGTATTTACAAAACGGAAACAACAGAATAATGAAAAAAAAAATACAATGTGAGAAATATTAGTTTATCGAGTAGAATTCGATATATCATTGGCAAAATGTTATAATAATGATTAGTAGATGCTTACTGTATTGAACTGTTATAATAATGATTAGTAGATGCTTACTGTATTGATTTACAAAGAAGCATACATGTATAAATAAGTACATGTATATTTACTTACGATCTGCAACAGCCGTGGTAGGTAACCTCTGTATAACACATATCCCCCTTTACTTCCTTACAATCCTCATCAACAGACATTACTTTACTGATGTTAACCCAACGGTAACCGATTTCCTCGCGCCGCTTCCTGTCTTCGGCAGAAATGAAATATCTAGGTGTGTCCGTCCTACAGAGACAATTTAATTTTCGGTTGTATATCAGCATAGTATAATGCTGTATCATGCATAAGTATACTAATACATGTTAACATTTTATTTTCATACTATTACCTTTTTATATACCTCCGGTTTTCACATGTGTGAGCAAGCACAGATGTCGTTTTGTTTGTTGTCTGGTTTGTATTGGGATAACGTCTTCTTGTCAGACACTGTCATATGAGCATAGATGCCTAGGGAGACATCGTCAGGAGCCGAAAGTAGATAGGAAAGAAGTAGATAGGAGACGAAAAAAATCCCCAATATGGCAATATTGGTTTTAGATTAATTTTAGTCTTTTCAATATCCTCTTTGTAAAAGACCAAGGTCTACATTAGTCGCCTTTTACGATACACACGTTATGGAATAAAACTGGTGTATTATTGATTTTTCCAATATTCCCAAAACAAATGCAAGGAAGAAACCGACCCGATTCTGAGGGGCCACACTGTAGTCGCCTCTTATAACCATGCAGTAGGGTACCGCAGGCATACTTATTCCTCCACCCTGCACGGGTTCGCAGATGTGGTACCTATAAACATGTCATGCATTAAGGCTTTACTAAGCGCCTTCCATGAAAGCAGTAGTTACTAAAATAAGGGTATACTATACTTTCCACGATTTATGCATTAATCATACACATGTATATGCTTAATGCTAAGTTGATGTATTAAGACACATTTATGCATTAGGGGGCCATACACTGCTCCATACAGTTGTTTTATCCTTAGAAGACTCATCGGTGATGCAAGGAGGTCAAAAATGAATATAAATGAAGTTATGTACATTTTAGATTAGAGGAGTACTGATTAATTTCAAATTTAAAACTGAACAAAGTGTGTTTATTATGAACCGAGTGACTAAGCAGAAGAGAAACATGTTGCTATCAAGGTTCCATCAAACCTCCGGGACTAAGAAATCCACACGCAGAGTCTTCTACCATATATGTAGGTAGATGAATGTAAGACACGAATATGCCATTTTTCCTTTTGGAAATATGAACGTCAAAGTCAAAGATAAATTACTGTCACCATACAGCTGGTGCGTAATTCTGAAACTCATCTTTGATGCTAGGGGTCAAATATGGGAATCCCCATATTGGTCTGAACTAGTCTTGGTTCATTAGAGGATTCGCGTAAAACTTCTTTATTGTCATGTTTGAATTTAAGAAATTAAAGGCGCACTGTTTAATTTCCAATTTCTTCTTTGTAAAGTGTCTTAATTTTGTATCATTTACTGCTCCACAAATCAAAAGAGATACCTGTTGCTATTGCTAATAGTAATTAATAATCATATACCTTATTCGTTTTGCGCCCTATATAATTTGCAAACTTTCACTAAGGTGCTTTACAGCATATGAATAGTAATATTCCTGCATTGACATTTATAAATATAGTAGATAAAGAACAGGAATGCAATCTGCTACAGGGCTTAAAATTCAAACGTAAAAAGATGGGTCTTCAAAGTTCTTCAACCTCGGGGACTAAGATATCCACCTGCAAAGTCAAATATCTGAAGCTGATGAATATGTAACTGCACCTTTGAAATTCGGTAATATATACAGTTTTCTAAACAATTAATTAATTGCACCGTACAGCTGATCATAACGTGCCTAATGACCAGATATAATATTTGACAGAGCAAATCAAATTAATTGGAGATTGAAAGAAATTTGTTACCCCACACCCTTCTGGTCTCCTGCCTCCTGACCAACTAACACAAGTATCGTAATCACCAAAATCACTATCGACACAGCAGCATGGGCCCCTCCCTGCAAAAAAAAAACAATAATATAATATATAGTCAAACCTTAGTAAAGTGGTCATATTAGGGAGATCATAATGTTGGCAACTTAATGAATGTTCTGGGAAAGGGATAACATACACAATGTTTAAACAAATTATTAACAAGTTATTATAAGAGCAAAAAACATTATTTTACTGATAGCATTCCAACGAAAATGTAACTATTCATAACAAATATTTACATAAATAATATTTTACAATTTTATATACAATAGATAATTATTTACTACATCTTTATCATTTAGCATAGTTTAATATACATCGTAACATTTTAGCACTACAAAATAGGATTACTTCTGACGATGATAATATTAGACGTACTGTCAATATAACTGTTCCTGTATCAGTAATTTTGATAATTTGTCTACAACATGTTGGCAATTGTTGCCTCAAAATCTCAGGCTGAGTCGTAGTGTGTACTATTATTTATTGTCCTCTGTATAAATATTCTTTATTGCATCTTAACATGTCCCTAGCCCAATTCAATCGACATTTTATATAGGGGCCTAGATGTGTTTGTCGAGGCCACGAGAAATGATTAAATGCTAGCTTGAATGACTTGAATTTAATACAGAAAGATTTGGTTATCCGTTAATCAAAAAAAATATCATTATTAAAGTCAGTTCCATTATTGATGATACACTACAGATACGTTGAATCCTTAAAGGGTTTATTTGTAATACTTACAAGTAATATGGATGCCCTCGCCGCACTCCACCAAGCTCGTCTTGCATCATCACTTTGATTACTCATTTCAAAAGTCTGCATTTGTTTCCTTATTTGGGTAAATAAAAAAAAACATGCCAACACTTAATTGTCAACACAACCGTTGTTTGAACATAAAATCGATAAACTAGGGCTTAAAAAAAAGAGAAAGAATTTCCGGAAGTGTCTGCATCACTGACGTCCGCCATGTAAATCTAGGTCAACTAAAGCAAAATAATATTACCTCCTCAAAAAGAGAACTGGGTAGTAACAACGAAACTAGTGTCAAAATAAAAAACAAGGAAACCAAATTACTCCCCCCCCCCCTTCTTTCCAGGTTCCTTAAAAACTGAGCTGGTATTTAAGTTTCATTTTGAAACTTGCTGAGAACAATTCAAGTTAATCAAAGTAGTAGTAGTGTTTCCATGTTATGTCCCAAGGAGGTAGGATCCAGGGGTTGGTCTGAACTTCCTGGCAAATCCGGGTGGGTTGTTTTCTTCTCTTCATAACTAAAAATTGTTTATTTGGTTATAGAGTAGGGATACAACCCCAAAATTACTATGGAAGGTGAGGGATTTTATTGATTAACCTCTATTTCCCCTATAAGGCAACACCCATCTGCCCCCTTGGGAGCCACACACACTGATTCCACTTGCCAAACGAGGCTAGACCAAATTTGGTTAAAATCCCTCCAATCACTTGGAAGGAGAAGGAATTTTGATATTAAGCTATGTTGCCTATTGGCCCAGCCCTCTGCCCAAAGAGAGCAACACCCTCCACATATACAAAATGTAGTTCCTTTGCATATTGAAGGTCTGTAAAAAGTATGGGTATAATCCTTCTATCCACACAGAAATTAATCCAATAAAAAAATCACTCACACCCTCTGTTTATAGAAATTCGAGGCTCCTTTATCCAAATATGCTTTTGAACAAGTTTGGTTAAAATTCTTACCTTGGTAAAAAAAAGGGGGGGGGGCAAGATTGAAAGTTTTAAAGGGTAAAGTATTGTCTCTTAATCCCCAAGGGGAGGGGGGGGGGGGGCCCACTCTCCGTTTATACAAATTTTGGGCCCCCTTCCAAAGATT